AGCCCCAGGAAGGGGCAGCCTTTTTAAGAAGCCCCGTGAGGGTGTAGCAAGCCCCAGAGCGGGGCAACTATTGAGAAGCCCTAGTGCGGGCGTGATGGCCCCAGGAAGGGGGCAATATTTTAGAAGCCCAAGTGTGGGTATGACAAGCCCCAGGGAGGGGACACTATTGAGAAGGCCCCGAGAGAGGGCGACAGCATTGAAAAGCCCAGTGCGGGTGTGACGAACCCCAGGAAGGGGGCAATACTTTAGAAGCCCAGGTGTGGGCGCGGAAAGCCCCAAGGAAGGGGGGCGGCATTTTAGAAGCCCGAGTGTGGGCGCAGAAAGCCCCAGTAAGGGCATAGCAGGCCCCAGGAAGGGGCACTATTGAAAAGGCCCAGACAGGGGGCAACAGCGCAGCGAAGGCCCGGAGAGGGGGCGACGGCGCAGCGAAGGCCCGGAGTGGGCAAGGAGAGCCCCAGGAGGGGGCGTCAGAGTACATAGAGAGAAAAACCAACGTCTATCCCATCTGCGAGGCTTGGGGCGTGGTATCAGGGGTGGTTGGAGCCACGCATAGCCCATAAGGCTAGGGTGCCCCGAAGCACCCATTGGTGCTGGACAAGACCCACAAGGGGTCCAGGAGTCTACATGTCCAAGAGGGCACAAGGCAGCCTCCCAACTTAATTTAAGATCAAAGATGTGGCGGGCGAGAATAGAGGGTGCCCTTGGGCCGACCTGACACGGAGAGGGGGCCTCAAGGAGATCATGGCCTTCCTGCAGGACCCTGCCGTGACATGGCCCTTCTCCACTGTCTTGTTTAAAATCTACCAGATGGCTGGATGTATTTTATTCTCAAATATGCTAAACTTCAGTATTAAAGCCTGAGTGAGCAATAACAAGAAAACCATTTCTATCTGAACAAATATCTTTGGAGATTCTGGACACATTATATTTTTAAAAGCATGGAAGTCCAACCCCTACTAAACTCAGTGGGCTCATATGATATATGTATATGGCACAATTTGGATTTAGAAAAAAAAAAAGATTAATTGCAACATACTGCAAACAACAACTTAAAAAAAACAAACAAAAAACCTTTCAATCCCCCCCATCATCCAATACATAAGGATTATTTCCAAACCTAATACAGAGTCAAATACTTACTTTCCCTTTAAGAGAATACTTAGTTGATCATCAACAGAGGTTTTATCTTCTGCAGCATATGCTTGACCTGTTTTTAAAGTCTGAATGTTGCAGAACTGTCCAGTTAATCTCTTAAACAGTTCTGGAGGCACATGGAGGGGTTCAAACATTCTCTTATAAAGACTACTGAGCTCTTTTTCAATTTTGATCTGGAATGGAATAGCAAAAATATTTTAAAAGGAAGATGGACCAGGAGATATAGGAGTGTAAGACTGGATTTCAATTATAGTTACTATATATAGTAACTATAAAAACTCAACATTTGCCAAAATAACGACACATTAAAAACTTCTAGGTTTTTTTATGCTTAGGTCAGAAAAGAAACCCATGTGGCATCTGTCCACAAATGCTGTCTATTATATAATGACCACAGTATTTACTTAAAGCTAAAGCTTAGGACCATACTGCCATTTTATGGCTCCATCCCATACCAAAGGCATGTTAACTGATTTAACCAGAATAACTCTAGGTACCCACCCCTGTAGAAGTGAACAAAATTTGGATCAGGAGAAGAGGAAGAAATCAAGACTCCTGTCTCTTTCACTCTGCATTCCAGCTTTGTTCCTTCTAAGGAGTGCCCATGATATGTTAAATTCATGTCTTGCATGCTGTGGGAAAGCATGGATTCAGAAAACCACTGCAAGTATTTGTTAATGACAAAGAAAAAAGCCAATGCCAACTGAACACTCCATGCTCAGAGGACCACCAAAACTCAAGCAGAAGGGAAGAGGTGGAAAGGAAGCTGGTGGAAATATCAAGATGAGAAGTCTTTCCTGAATGAAAGTAGCTGAGAATGAGGCAACTTCTAGTGCCCTAGGCCCTTGATTAGTTAAAAAAACAAGGCAGGCTGAACAGAGGCCTTCATACTCGGTGGGTAAGAGTGAAATCGGAAAAAGGGAGTGAACAGCTCATGATAAAAAAGTTCAAAACAAGCATAGCAGAAGATAAGAAGTTGAAAAAGGATAAATGGAAAGGAAAGAAATAAGGGGGAAATTAATAAATCATTAGTTTAGGATTAAAATTTCTTATAATTTGTTCTATGTTTTATTGGATGTCACTATTAGAAATAGAGCAAAAGGAAAGAGACAGGGCAGGTGCTAGGATGTATGTTCAGACAATAGTAGAAAGCGATGTTAGAAAGAGTGGAAATTTTAGTTGACTCTTGACTAGGGAGAGGGACAATGGTGAGAACACATTCCAGAAAAATAATGGGAATTTTTATTTGGAATTTGTGAAGTTGTATGTTTCTGCCCTTCCTGTTCCTTATGTTACTTCCTGTCCTTGCAGTGATAGGAGATTGACAGCATCCTCATCCCCCTGCTTTATCTATGGCAAGTTACAGAAATAATTTCATTTTTCAGGCATTATGCCTGACAGTTGTGCATAAGGGTTGCTCCCAAAGGTTTAAAGAATAGGTTAGACAAACACTTGTTTAGGATAGCTTGGGAAGGGATAATCATGCCTTGAGCAGAGGGTTGGACTGGATGACTATATAAACATTTGAAGTTTTAGGTGCAGAATTCCACAGCTTCCGAGACAGTCCCTGAAATGGATCTCAATCCAAAAGCAACAATATAATTAGACTGGACTCACATGAATAAAACACAAGTAGAAGATATAAGGTTGCAGGTACAGTCTCAAGTTTGGCCTTTCCTGATTTTTAAGCATTTGTCTTTGCATCTTTAACATTTCTCTTGACACAGATCAGGGTACCAATTTTGAAAATACATATATGAAAGAAGTTTGGTATAGGAGTAGTCATATGGAAGTCAACAAGATAATTTACCAAACACTCACATTTAAGATAAGTTGGGTGTGTCTAGTACAAAGATGCTTTACTGTGCAGTAGACTAATCTACTGCACAGTAAAGGGTAACCATTTACACGTGTTCAGCATTAACTGTGCAGTATATTAGTCTACTATGGGGTTAGTTACTACTTGCAGTAACTACTGCATAGACTGCTGACCAGAAGCAAATTGCTCCCAGTCAGCTAAGACAGCAGGGGGTGGAAAAACAAACAAACAAACCTGTCCCTTCCCCCGGGTAGCTTCTTTCCAGCCCGCTGCCCTGGTCTGCCAATTGGGGCAGGGGGCTAAGGACCAGCAGCTGTGGTGGGGAACATTTTCCCAGCCCCCTCCCCCAATCTGTTGATTGGGGCACTAGGCTGGGAAGCAGCTGTCCCAGAGGCAGGACAGCTTTTCCCACCCCTCAGAGACCAGGGCCTGACTCTGGTGCCCCCTGATTCATACCCTGGCTGCTGTAGGGGGTACATCAGGGCTGGAATAGCCCTGCACTGAACTGCTCCTGTCCAAAGCAAATGTGCTCCAAATGGGAGCATGTGTAGATGCCCTGCCAGGGAATGTTTACTGCACAGTAAGCTTTCAGGGCATTAATTGCATGTGTAGATGTGCCTGCTTTTTCTCCCCAGTCAAAAAGCCCTTCATTTTACATTTGCATACAAGGGAAACTGATTAAATATATTGCAGGCGCATCTCTATGCTTTATTAATGCAATATGGGCCACTCCTGCCCTGCCTTATCTTCCTGCAGTACCCAGGGGGGGCTCCAGGCTCCCCCCAGGTGCTAGTTTGAATGCTGGCAGGTGGCATGGGGGCTGGTCCCAATGCACACTGGGCCAGAAGAATTCTGCAGGCTGCAGTGGCAGCTGTCTCCTGCCCCTGTGCACATCAGAAGGGGTCCTGATATGCACAGGCCCAAGAGAGAGCTGCCACTGCAGCTGGCAGAGCTATCTTGGTCCTGCGCACATTGGGACATAGAGCTATCAGCAAGTCCCATGCCCAGCAGGGATTTCCTGCCCAGCAGGGGGCTTACTGGCAGCTGCCCCACAAGAAGGAATGCTGCCAGTGAGCCCCTGGCTGAGTAGGGAAGCAAAGAGCTCCCCAGTCCCTGTGCTGATCAGCTCCCGGCTCCTGGAGCTGCACAGCACTGGGATTGGGGGGGTGGGGAATGACCCTGCCCAGTGCTGATCAGCTTCCAGCTCCTGTGGGGAGCCGGAACCTGAGCAGAGCCAGGACCAGAGACAGAGAACACCCCACCCCCTGCAACTCCCTGCTCGTGTGGCTGACCGGGAGCAAATTTGCTCCTGATCAGCATCTACAGAAGCACTACTGCACAGTAACTACAGTATTTACAGGTAGTAGCTAACTGCACAGACTAATTCATATACATGAATGAACAAGGTACAATGTCTGTACATTTTTCCTATGAATTAGTTACACTGTGGCTGTGTGGGGGGTAACTAAAGTAATCTCTCTCATTGGGACTCACCTGCCACACCCTGATGTAATGGAAGAATAAAAAGTTAATTCCCCAATGAGAGAGGGTGTAGTAAATCACCCTAGAAGCAGGATAGAAGTAAATTTGTTTATTAGTGAATTCCCAACAGGTTGTGGATAACCCGACCGTTTTCACAGCGTGCGGTCTTCCTTCACCCTCCACCACCATACAACCCACTCCTCTGAGCCTGTCAGCTCACCTCCAGCCTCTCTTTCCTTCCCTCGCAGGTACCAGTGGATTTTAATTCCATGGAACCTTCTCTCCACCTGAAGATTAACCTGGTAAGTATCTTCCCCCTCTCTCACCTCTTTGCTTTGCCGGTCACCATAGTTACCTTCACCCGGTCAGCCAGTTTGATCAGTGACCCACTCTAGCACTGGGTTTGCCACTCCTGGGTTTGCCACTCCTGCCCCGACTCTTCCTCGCACTCACAATTTTGTACCATCAAAGGAACAGGGCTGTTCCTTGCCTTATTACATTCACATTTTAAAAAATGTGGATATTTTTAATTGCATATGTATGAACTGTATTTTCACTGTTCAACCAAATCAGAATTTTCTCCTAGAGCAATAAAATGCATCTCTCCTCAAAAATAGCTAATTTTTTTTTTTTTTTTTTTTGCCAGGTTTCATTCTTTTCTATTCCCACAAGACTCCCCCTTCAGGGAATATGAATTATCATTATTTGAAAGATGACTCTTGGAATGGAAATGCTCAGGAAGGATAAACAATAAGTTAGAACTTGAAGTAAATGATTGTCAATGCTACCAGCTGCTAATTACATTCTTCGTAAGTGACTACACTTACATGATAATGAGGTTTTGAATATACACATGCATAAATATTATGGCCCTTTGGTGTCAAAAGACCTTACAGTTGCACAGCTCTTGTGCCTACAGCATATAAATGTTATAAAGGTGAAGTTTAGACTATACTAAATCTGTGGAATGTTAAAAATGGTGTGAAAATTAGAATATGCTAGGAGTAGACATGTTAAGGGTTAATACCATTTCTAGCCTGCGCAGCTCTGACTTGCCCCTAGAGGGCTGGTGAACAGGGGCATGGCTGGGAGCCAGGACACCTGAGCTCTTTGCCTGCTCTGGAGGAGGTGGAAAAGGGGAGCAGGAGCTGGGAGTGGTGCATTCTCAGATACTAGAAGACTGCAGATTGCTCATTTCATCTCCGTGGAACAGACTGAAGTCACCCTAACAGGAGCTAGGTAGCACAGCAGGGTTAAAAATTATGCCACTTTAAGCAAGGATTAAGATGCTCAGAGGGCACTTAGCATGAGCTAAAATGCAGACACTCATGTTAAGTGCCTTTAGTATGGTCGAAGCTCAGTTGACTGCATTTGAAATCATTGTTGTGGGCCATTTTCCCAGTAAGCCATATGGGCAGGTGTAACATTTTTCTGTTTTAGCTGAAATGTTCTGGGGTAGTGCCAAAGCCTCAAGTCAGAATTCAGTAAAAGAATTTTTCAATTAGGTCTAGCTTCACTAAATCCCCAAAGAGCCAAAAACCACAAAAATCATATTTTGGTCAGAAAAGGAACCTGTTGCTATTTCATGGGCTTTATTTAATGAAATAAATAGTCAACAATTGAAATTATCCATCAATTATTCATTCTGCAATCTGTCTAGAATTGTAATAGTTTTCCCATTCTTTTCTTTTCCTAAATGTGTAACTTGCAAGGATAAAATAAATACAATTATTTGGAAGAGATAAAAATCTAATTCAGAATTATTTTCTGAATTTTCTTTGCTACCTTTTCAGTTTTGGGGTCTTTGTTTTAAATCTTCAAGTTCAGTATTAAAATCAAATTCCAACTACAAAAGCTATGAACAGTAAATAC